TTGAGGATGTTTGTGTCTATGTTCATCAAGGAAATTGGTCTGTAATTTTCTTTCAATGCTGCATCTTTTTCAGGCTTAGGGATTAAGGTGATGCTGGCTTCACAGGAAGAATTTTGGAGGATTCCCTCTCTTTCAATTGTTTTGAGAAGAATTGGAGTTATTTCTTTAAATATCTGGAATAACAAGAGCCTCGCATGATCACTGTCGTCATAAATAAGAGTGTCAATTGTTAAATCAACAACAGAGTCACTGTGCACTTGCTCGACATGTAGGACCTCTGTCCTTTTTGAGTGTACTATGAGAATTAAAGGTAAAATTTGTCTTCAAACAGTACTTTATACTTTGTGTGTCTGTATGACAGCAAACTGTTGAAATCTTTACTTAGTATAGGGTTGATCTTCTGTATATAAAGATAATTAAAAATGAATCTTAATGAAGGATGGGATGGGAGAGGGAGTAGAAGGTGGGGTGGGAATGGGGGAGGGAGGGCAGCTATGGGGGAAGAGCTGCTATATTCCAAAAGCTGTGCCTGTGAAATTTATATTTATTAAATAAAAGCTTTCTAAAAACTGCAATACTCTACTTGTCACAAGGATGAAAGAACTACATACAAAAAGCTCTGGCACAGTGCCTTCCACAGAGTTGGCACGTGGTACATGCCAACTCCTCACCAATCTTTCTACACTAGCAAAAACGTATCAAACAGCTTTATATTTCTCACGCACGTTTGAAGACTTCCTTCTCAAAAGGATAATATGAACTCAGATTTGAAAGATGTAAGCTACACAGGTAGCCCTAGACAGAAATTCCCTCTCAGTAACCAAATCTGGGGGTCGCCAACATTCTTTCCATTCCATAGGTGGTCCAGGGAAAGAAAGGAAAGAAATCATCCAGGAAATAAGAGATCACCATTTCTTCTTTCTATTAAGAAAGGGCAGTAGACTCTAGGAACCAGCATTCACTTGGCTAGATCATTAATTACTGACACTACAAGCCAAATGATTAGGCCATGTTCAAGCCTTTGAGATAACAAGAAGCTTCCTGAAAGTCCTGATTAACCACATGAGGAATTTTTACTTTTAAGTTGATTAAGTATTCCCATTACAACCCTAGTGGAAGGTTGTGGTGTCTCCTTGTTTTCTAAAAATGCACTGTGAGCCAGTTCTAGGACTCCTGCTGCCACTAGCATGCCCAGGTACTCCAAGTATCACCAGCTGAGTCTTTTTTCTAAGGTACCTTTTAAGTGCACATTAGTGCTCATATCATAATATAGGAGAAGAAAAGATACATAATCCTCAGTGATCTCACAGGGAATCCTGAACATAAACAGCACAAAATGACAACTGATCATCAACACAAGGGTGAGAGAAAAAGAATTACTAGGTAACCAACTGTTAGTATTGCTCCTTTTTTCATAGTTTAGACCAAAGAACAAAGATTATTCCCCATAAAGAAGTACAAAAGCAACAAGCTACTTATACAACATGCCTGGCCTTGAACAAGGCTAAATGTTTCCATCTGTGTCTCTACTTAATGTAACCTTGTGGTATCAAGACAAATGACTTATGAAAACTTCTGACAATGTTAAGAACAGGCTTTTCATCTTCAAAGCCTACTCAAAAATATACTGCTAGTATCTACAAATAAATGCATGTCTATATGATGGGCGAGAATACATTTACCTTAAAGATAACAGACCATTAATTCAACATGATTTGCAATATTAAGGAAGACTAAATGAAGAGTTCTTCATCTCATAATAGCGTTGAGAATGGGTGTGGACACTGAATTTAAAGAATAGACTCTCTGAGAAAAGTTCATTTTTTCATCCATCCAAAGAATTAAAACTCATCTGTTTGTCCCTCTTTCACCTTGAGAAGGAACAGTATGCCTATCACCCTTTGACCTTCCGCTACTCCCAGTCTTGCTCTATCCCCAATCTTGCTTAAACTTGCCTGCTTTTTTTCTCATTCTAATGTTCCATTCTCTACTTCTTCCCCTGGCTCAGGATTTTTCACCTACTCCTCATCTTGTCATTTATAATGGTCTCCTGCTCTACTCAGCATCAACTCTGTCCTATGCATCTTCCACTTACCCTTCTCCATTGATGTTGATTCCTTCCCATCCAACTCTAAAAATGCTCACATTTCTCTCACTTAAAAAAGAAGCTTCCCTCAATATAGTTGCTCCCTTTACTTTCTAACTTTCCTCTCTCCTTTCCTCCCTGCAAAACTTCTTTGCAAAATCACATCAACTGCTTCTCTTTACTTAACCACTACCTGATTACTCTCCAATCCCTGGCAGGTTGTCTCCCTACAATAACCACCACATCAACAAATAAAAAGACTTTTCCCTAAGGTCACCAGCTACCCTTACCTGAGAAATCCACCAGCCAATTTATAGCTCTTGCCTTTGCTGGTCTTTCATGCAACTATCAGGCCATTCCTCCAAAAAATCCTTTGGTTTTTAGTAAATATTTCTTTCCTACTACTTTCCTTACCTCTCTGATCACTCCTTTTTAGTCTATTTTCTTATACCTTGCTCACAGCACCAGTTTTATTCCTGAAATATTGCTACTACCCAGAATTCTCTTTGTCTCTCTCTTACTCCATAACATCACTCAGTGACTCATTCTCACAGCTTTCACTGTCACCTATACAAAGGTAAAAGTTAAATATAAATTTGCTACTCCCATGAGCTCCCTACACATATATCCAGTGCCTACTGGATATCTCCCCTTTGATATTACATTGATATTTTCAAACCCAACATGTTCAAAACTGAATTGTTTTTTTCTCTACAAGCAACAACCATGTTATCTTCTTGAATAACTTGATAATGATACTACCATACTCTCAAGTCAAAAACTTTAAAATCATTCATTCCTACCCCATACTTTCTCATATTCAATTAGACACCCAATCCTTTCATTTCAGTTTCTTCCTTCTACCTTGAACCTTTGCCACTATAAGGTCCCCTTAGCAATTAAAATAGATTTGTAACCTTCCTCTATTTTCCCATGTCCTGTCCAACATCATCTTTCTAAATTGTACATCTGTCCTGGCTATGCCATGAATTAAAAATTTGTAATGCCTTCTCTTCAAGTACAGAACAGAATTCAAACTCTTTGGAGTGAGGTACAAACTCTTTATTGATCCTTTCTCTGTCTGTTTCTGTAATAGCCTCATTATGCAGCCATATCGTCATTTGTTCATGATGACTTCTACCACTGGACTAGGAATTCCGTGAGTGCAGATATTAAGAATTATTCCTCTTTGTACACCAGTCTAAGAGACTAGTATGCAGTAATCCTTCAATAATTGTGTGTTAAAGGAATCAAATATCTAAATACACACATTCAAATGTATAATATAAATTAAAAGTGGCCGATACAAGAAAAATACATTTTTATGGATTATACTATTATTGACAGTTCACAAACCAATAGTTTTACATTACCTAAGTCTATTCCAGGCATACCAAAATTGGAAGTGACCTGAGTGTCTCAATCAAGAACTGTTTCCTTGTTCTGAACAAGGGAACAAACTGATTGTCTCACTAGTCACCAATTCAGTCAACTTACCCTTTACCCCAAAGTAGCATTGGGCCCTGTACTGTCCTCATTCAAGAACTTCTCTTTTCCAAAAGTCTCTGTAGGTTAAATAGTGTTCTCATAAAATTTCAACTAATGAAAATTTTCTGTTTTATTTATTACATTATTTTTGTTTCACTATAGAAAATTACAATGTTACTAAATTTCAATGAAAACTAATCAACTGCCAGCAGTTGAATAAGATTCTTTCATCATAATCGTTTTCCAGTCACTCCAAATATCCACCTCAGATAGAAAGTTCATAGGCAGTCATTGTGAAATCAATACTTGCAGACATAGCAGTATAATGGTTATTGGAGCTACACACTAGCCAGAATACATGAAAAAGTTAGCATAACTACGCTATCTCAATCTGGTTGAAGCAATTTCTTAACCTATGATTATTTACCACCACAAAAAATTATTGGCTTTTTCCTTTATTCTTCTTTTTTAACTTTTACTTAATAAATATAAATCTCCAAAGTACAGCTTTTGGATTACAGTGGCTTTTGCCCCCCCCCCCCATAACTTCCCTCCCACCTACAACCCTCCCATCTCCCGCTCCCTCTCCCATTCCATTCACATCAAGATGAATTTTCAATTATCTTTCTATACAGAAGATCAATTTAGTATATATTAAGTAAAGATTTGAACAGTTTGCACCCACACAGAAACACAAAGTGTAAAGTACTGTTTGAGTACTAGTTATAGCATTACTTCACAGTGTACATCATATTAAGGACAGAGATCCTACATGGGGAGTAAGTGCACAGTGACTCCTCTTGTTGACTTAACAAATTGACACTTTTGTTTATGGCGTCAGTAATCACCCTAGGCTCTTGTCATGAGTTGCCAAGGCTATGGAGGCCTTTTGAGTTCACCAACACCGATCTGATTTAGACAAGGTCATAGTGAAAGTGGAAGTTCTCTCCTCCCTTCAGAGAAAAGTACCTCCTTCTTTGATGGCCCATTCTTTCCTTTATTCTTGAAGAGTGGTTTTCAAAGAGTACTCACACCACTGAACATCTGCTAACAAAGTAACATGGGAATTGATAGAAATGGTACTGTGATGGGTGGCAATGATTGGAAGGAGAAATAGGCAACATGCATTGACATTCTGATGAAGACTTCAGGAGTTGTCTCTATGATAATCAAAGCCCTGGAATGCATGGGGGGGGGGATTCCTTGCTGTAGGAAGTGTTAGGAAAACCCTACTCTTCTCATCAGAGAAGTTGGATTTTGTCTCTGAAGACTTCCTCAGAAACTTGTAATTACCCAAATACAGTATATGTATTTATATTAGCTGTAAAATATATTCTTCTGCACGTGACTTGGGAATGTTAAAGGCAAATTAAATGTCGATTCATGAGTAACAGACAACCATTTTGCAGAAAGATGAATGACATACATATTCAGCTACCTTGTAGGGCTCCCCAAAAAGATCAAAGCCTGAAGAAAAGAGATCATCTTCTTGCTGGACTTCTTGATTCCTTCGCTCCCATTCCTTCTTTTTAAGTGCACTACGGTCTTGTTCATAGTGACTGATATGAAAAGAAAATGACAAAAGGAAAGAAAAGGTTAGTGGTAAAAGAAAAATAATTAAAAAGAGGGAAAAAAGAAATTAGAAACTCTAGTCATGACCAGGAGAATATGGCAGAATTCTTTTCTCTTGTCCTTGTTTGATTTTTAGAATCAATCACATGCTTCCCACTGTGCAGAAAGGTACTGAATTAAAATTACATTGTGGTGCCAACTGCCTAGGGCTCAGAATCCACAGATGTCACAAAGTCCCAGGGGAAAAGAATTATCAAACCATGGAGGTACAGATAAACTAGAATTCTTCTCTGAGCCCACAGCCAGGATAAGTCTGTTTTAATAAAGGCACACAAAAATCTAAGGACATTTTTGGAAACATAGACACACAACTATAAATCACTTAAATACCCACACTCCTTTTTGTGTGGTTGTTGTTGTATTGGTCTTCCCATAATTTGCTTCAAAGATAACTGGAAGATTTTTGGGGAAATTCTTCATAAAAAAGGGGTCTAGTTTAAACAACCATTAAATAACAATGAAAAAAGATAGGTATCAAAAGTCTTGAATGATCTTAATGCACAAATGTTAATAAAAATTTGTTTATTCTATGACTCTTATATTTTAGGCTTTCCCATTTGGATATAAAAAGCTTTGAGACAACATTTAAGATATCGGGCTGATTCCAAGAATTGAAGGAAACTGAATTAAAAGATAAGTTTATTTTGGTGTATTTTTTAAAAAAAATCCATGTAGACAAATGCTCTTCAAAGAGTGCATAGAAAATCCATAATATGCAAAAATGGCATGGATGCATGGATTTCAAAATTTTTAGCACTCAAATGAACTAATCTTTAAATCCATTTTCCAGGAACTGTTTCAAGATCCTTCATATATTCTGGGCACTTAGGTGTTACAGAATGAAACACTTCCCTATTAAGAAAACAACTATTTTCTTCATCATGTAGTTCTGCTAATTAAATCAGTCTTTAAGTCCTATGGTACAGGCTGAGCATACCTAATCTAAAAATCCAAAACCTTAAAGTTTTTGTGCATTGACATGATGTCACAGTTGGAAAATTTCACTCTAGACCTCAAAATGCAAGCACACCAGAAGCATTGCACAAATTATGGTCAGACTATGAATCTAAGGTATATATGAAACAAATGGATTTCATGTTTAAACCTGGGTCCCATCCTAAAGCTATCTTATGATATATATGCAAATATTCCCAAACCCAAAATAATGCTAAATCTGAAACACTTTTGGTTTCAGGGATTTCAGATACATAATACTCAATCTGTATTGAATTTTATTTTGTTCAATGGCTTTATTTTTTTAAGATTTTATTTTATTTATTTTAAAAGCAGAGTTTCAAAGAGACAGAGGAAGACAGATCCTCCATCAGCTGTTTCACTCCTCAAATGGCCACAATGGCCAGGGTTGGGCCAGGCTGAATCCAGGAGCCATGAACCAAGAGCTTCTTCCTCGTATCCCATGTGGGTGCAGGGACCCAAATACTCAGGCCATCCTCCACTGCTTTCCCAGGTCATTAGCAGAAAGTGTTATTGGAGGTAAAGCAGCCTGGACATGAATCAGTGCCCATATGGAATGCTGGCACTGAAGATGGCAGCTTAATACACTGCACCAGAGCACCAGCCCTTATTTACTGTTTTTTTTTTCTCCTGCTTTTGATGTTACCCTTATCCATGATGTTACCCTTATCCAAGCTGGGTAAATTTAAATTATATAAAATAAATTATATGAATGTACATATATCAATTGTACATAAATTTCCTAGCAGGTGCTGTATAGATATTGGTTTCCTTCCTCGTGTTAATATTACTGTGTTAAGACTTAGATAATTGACATGCATATTAACATAATAGTAAGAGAAATTACAAGAGATATACTGATGTAAAGTTACAAGTTGACAGGTTTTGAATAAATTTCAAAACCTAATGCCGGGGGACAGGTGCTGTGGCGCAGTGGGTTAAGCCTCCACCTGTGGCACTGGCACCCCACATGGGCACCAGTAGGCTGCTCCTCTTCAGATCCAGTTCTCTGCTTCAGCTCTCTGATATAGCCTTGGAAAGCAGTAAAAGATGTCCCAGGCGCTCGGGCCCCTGCACCAGCCTGAGGGCCCTGGAGGAGGCTCCTGGCTCTTGACTTCAGATCGGCACAGTTCCTGCTATTGCGGCCATTTGGGGAGTGAACTAGCAGATGGAAGATTTCTCTCTGTCTCTCCCTCTCACCATCTGTAATTCTACTTCTCAAATGAATAAATAAAATCTCACAAAACAAAACAAAAACCTAATGTGGGGCTGGTGCTGTAACATAGCAGGTAAGGCTGCCGTCTGAAGTGCTGGCATCCCATATGGGTGCCGGCTCAAGTCTTGGCTCTTCCAATTCTGATCCAGCTCTTTGCTATGGCCTGGGAAAGCAATAGAAGATGGCCCAAGTCCTTCGGCCCTGGCACACATGTGAGAGACCCAGAGGAGGCTGCTGGCTCCTGCCTTTGGATCGGCCCAGGCATTGTGGCTGTCTAGGAAGTGAACCAGTGGATGGAGGACCTCTCTCTCTCTCTCTCTCACTCTCTGCCTCTGTCTCTCTGTAACTCTGTCTTTCAAATAAATAAATAAATCTTTATAAGAAAAACCATAATGCTTAATGCCTATAATTGGTAAGTTAGATTGCTCATGAGTAGCATAACTTTAATTTATAACATAGAAGCCTAGAGCAAGAAGTATCTATGCAGCTTAAATAGATGTTGATACACTCTTAATGTGTGGTGCCACTGCACTTAATTTACCTTTTGCCACAGAAATTCTTGAATTGTCAAATTCAAAGTGTCTTTTGATAGCCATATCATTTGGAGAAATAACACTCATTGCTCTATATTTAAATAGTGGCAACATTTATAGAATGCTTACATTCACACTGCACTTTCATAATGCAGACAATGCCAGATACATAAGAGCTTACTGGGCCACTCATTCGTTTGGCATATGGTACCACTGGCTGGGAAAAGCAAAGAAAACATGCAAACCCCTACTCCAATCCCATGCCACATATCTGCAGAATGCCTGGTCAAGAAGATACCAAGTCCAGGTATTAAAAACCAGCCTTATCTTGTCTAGTCTCAGAAACCCTCTAAACATACCATGTTTTCTCATGCTATCATTTCATTTCTGTTTGCAAGCTGAGATGAGAGCCCCAAACAGTTGCCATGTGTCCCAGTGTCTATGTTGGAGTCTGATGTGGAATGAATCTGGCATTTTTTCAGGGCATCTTCACTCCATTAAGTGTGGAGAATGAGACTGTGCCTCTATGCCACATATACTGGATGTGTGTAATACAAACCCATCAATTTGCCAAAATGTAAGAAAGACAGAGTGTCAGGATAGGGGTGGGAAAACAAGTTAGAATATTTAGTGGGAGTAGAAGGTTTGTTGCAAAGGGGAAGGACACTTAATTTCTTTGCCTTCCATAGCAAATGATTGTCCATAACCAAACAAGAAGCAAAAGAAGTAATGCAAGCAAGATGTCAGTTTTCTAGCTATCCGTTCATTTCATGCACCTGACAGCTCACAATGACAGGCCCATAGATCACATTTAATTCTCCAATGAAGAGAACTGAAGTGTTTTGGTCTCTTGGCTTTGCAAACTACTTTCCTTCTCCTCTGAGGGAAAGATATAATTAAAACCCTAAAGGAAAAAAAAAAGGAGGAGAAGAGAAACGTGCTTCAACTTGCATGACAACCCTTCAAGCGGCCAGCAGTAAGGGCACTTTCGGGGCTTTACACTTGGCTTTGATTTGTTAGGAGGCTCTTGGCTGCATTTTGCATCAGTTCATTAGCTACCAAACTCCAGATGCAAATTTGAATAGCAGATTGAGTGTGCTCACGGGTGTTATCTGTTGCAAGCAAAACTGCCTGCTGCATTTTTTAACACATATAACAAAGAACAGTTAATTCTCATATCGATGGTGAGAATGAATTTAATCTCCATAGAGTTCCACTGTTCCTGGAAGGCAACCAAATATCTCCAACATTTTCCTTTCTCACTCAGCATGGCGTTGTATTGAAAGCTTCACATGGCGAGGTCTAATGAAGAATGAACTACATGGTGATGAGGCTTTCAGTGTATAACGTCACTGATTTCTGACTGAAACCGACATTACTAATTTGAAGCACCAGCTAATTAAAACCACAGCTATGTATTTAGCCTCTTGTTACACCTACTGCAGTTTATAATTATGAGGACCTCTTTATCTACTCAATTAAAGTTCTTACAATTCACCTAGGCTGTGTTTGAAACAGCGAGCCATGCAGAGGCTGCAAGAAAGTATATGTCTCTCCCTTGATGATTTGATGTGTCTTTATACTCTGGAATTTGTTTTACAAAGGAAAAGGGGCTCCATAGCCCCTAAAGAATGTTCAAGCCAGAAAACTGAATTAATCATTATGTTACTGGTCTAAATAACCGCAGCTTATTCACAATGATGAGCACAGGATGAATTGGTCGTATCAGAATGAAAACCCATCTTTATATGGAGAAGTTAAGCAAAAATGTTTGACTCGAAGGTTCATCATTCTTAGTAAGTTGGGAGTATTTTTTCCTCCTGGATATAGTAATATCTGTCACATAAGGATGACATAAAAACCACTGACCACTCAAAACTAATGTATTCATAATAAACCAAATACCTTTGATTTCTCTCTGTCTATCCTATATTTTTGGAATTTCTTTTTCGCTGATGTCCATATCAACGATAGGAACAACACAGAAAGAAGAATAAGTTCCATTTAACTACTTGGTTAACAGTCACTCTCATGCAAGACATGATAGACAGAAGCTTCTTTCCTTCATGAAGTTTTCACATTAGCTGTGATTTCACACACCCATGTGGTTTCTTGGCCCCCAGTAGCAGAGAAACTTCTCACATTTACATAGAAGCAAACTAAGGTCCTCCTAAAATGAGGGATGCTCTCCGAAGTCCTCATC